TCGCGCTGGCGGCCAAACACTTCCGGGGCCGCCCCGACCTCCGCGGCCAGAGCGCCCCGTCTCGGTCGACGCGGCCGCGGGGTCGCTGCTGCCCCCTCCTGGCCGCTTGGAGGAGCTCCCGGCTCCTCCCCCGGGAGGAACGCTGGGAGCCAGCAAAGCAAATCCGCAGCGGGTAGACCCGGGATTCGGCATCCGAAGGGCAAAGGAGAGAGGCTGGGCTGGGAAAGAGATTTATTGAGCTCCTATTATGAAGGTAGGCCCTCAGCTAGGGACTTCCCATACGCCCGTGCGTCCGCTGGACACATACTAAATATCTACCAGTATCAAGCACTGTCTTAGGTGCTTGTGTTATAGCCGTGAAGGGAACAGACAAAAATCCTTGCCCTCGAGGAACTTTCTGTCTTGTGCATATCCTGTAAAGTGATGATACCGTTCTCCTTTCCTAGAAGACAAAACTCAGGCTCAGAGGTTGTGATTTGTCCAAGGCCACACAGCTGGGAAGTAGATTAGCCAAGATGAACAACCAGTTGTCTGTAGCTTCAAAAGGCAGTTCATTCCTCTTTGCCTCCCAGAAGGGAGGAGAGAGGAGGGCCTTGTAGCTGCAAACAGCCAGACGCTTTGAACAGGAGGCTGCTAATTTTCAGCTGAGGTCATGGAAGTATTAGAGGATGCATAAACAGATGAGAGTAATGAAGAAGCAAAGGGATATAGTAGAACACAAGATACAGTGGACACAAAAGTCAGAAAACCTAAGTCAGCTCACCAGCTGTGTGACTCAGCAAATCTCACTGTCTAAGCTTTGATTTCTTCAGCTGTAAAATGGAGAGGACACTGTTTCCTCTTGGCTACTTAAGAGAGAGTCAACAGGGTCAAATACGAAACATAAACATGCTGTGTAAAATGCTGACTGCCCTAGAGCTGCTGTGAGCTTACTTTGGTCTCCTAGGGATGGCAATGGTCACGTGAATCACTTTGGCCAAATGATCTCTTTCCATTTCTCTCCAGGTTTCTGTTCCAAGATTTGGCAAGATTCCCTGGTTTAGTGAGGCCAGCCTCATCAACAAGCCATTAGTGTTCAGCCTCCCCAGAAGGTAACAGCTCAGCCATGGGGGGTAAAGATTTCAAGCAAGGTGTCATAGAAGATGACTTCTGAAGGGTTAGGGGCAGTTATCTGAGGGGTGGCTGATCAGCTGAGAGACATAAGTCAAGCACTCAAAAACCAGAAATGGTTTCTAAGACAAAAATGAGCCCTGAGAGCAGGCCTGGCTGGAGGCAATGAGACCTCAGTGAACCTCCCTCTCCACCACCACTAAACAGTACATGAGAATTTGCCCATGGACACTGCCTTTCAAAACACTTCTTTCCTCTTTGTCATCTGACCTTTTCTCATTGTGTTAGTTTGAATTTGTCAAATTTTAACCATCAAAAGTCTAGAACCATAAATTCCTGCCTTTAGAGAGTAGCAACTTCCTGTCTTTAAACTTTGGGTCAGTCTCCTCCAATCTCACCGGTCCTGCCCTCTCAAACAGACCCTTCTGGAACACATTTCCATTTCTCACAATTGGGGGAATTCATGTGTAGGGAGCTGCCACTTGAAAGAACCAGGTGTCCTCGTTCCTCCCCCATTTTTGATCTGCGGGCGTGGAGACAGACCTTGTTCTTAGAGGGGAGATGAAAGGAAGGGTGAGTGGGAGGTTGATGTAGGGGGTGAAGGGGAGACATCAGGGAAGACTAGGGAGAGGGCAGGCCAGGGGGGCAAGTTTGCAGGCACAGCGTGGATGAAAAGTTGGCTCCCTGGCATAGAAGGTCATTTGCTAGGAAAATTATGTTCCCTGAGAAGAGTCTTTGCTCTTGGTGGTGACTGTTGTGGACCCTCCTGCCCTTGGATAAATGACTCACCGTGAGGGATAGTCCCTCCACACCCCCACTTCAATAACAGGTACCTTTGCTTTGTCTGCCGCACTTTTTAAAAATAAGATTCCCAGTGAGCAGCTAGACAGTTCTGCATATTTTCAGAGCACCTATGAAGTGTGTGTTGCTCAGTCCTGGTTTTTTCCCCATAACTCTGAATATATCTAAACTCTAGCTAATGTCTTAGTTTAAAGCAGGCAATCAGAGATTGACCAAACCCAAAGGTTTGTTTACTAAATAAAAACACAGGTGACGTAGTTCTTTTTAAGAGTTGTTAGCACTTCAAGGATCAGGTGTGTAATGACAGTTTAGCACCTTTTAACTGGGGGCAGAGTACAAACTCACATGACATTGACCGTCAGAGGGACAGCATGAGTGAGCGGAGCCGACCAAAAGGGAATGCGATCGCCTCCCTTCAGGGGAGGGACTGTCAGCCTCTCAGAGCGTCAGCACCACCTGCAGGTACGTGACCCCGGTGTCCAGATCTGCTGGTTTTTCCAACAAAAGCAGAAATCTGGATTTTTATGTGAAATGGCTAGTGTTTGACATC